TTTAGCCTGTTAGCATGGTAGATTATATTTGATTCCTTTTCAAATATTGAACCAGCCTTATATCTCTAGAATAAGTCCAATCTGCTTATAGTATAGAAGTCTTTGTATATGTTGCTGAAATCTACTTGCTAATATTTTCTTAAGAAGTTTTGCATTTGTATTCATGAAAGATATGGGTCTGTACTTTACTTTTTTATACTCTCTTTATCTGGTTTTGGTATAAGGTAATATTAGCTTCATAAAATGAATTGTGAAATGCTTCTTCCCTTTCTACTTTCAAAAGAAATTGCATACAATAAAAAAAAATTGCTGAAACTTGGTGTTCATTTTTTTTTTTTTAATGTTTGGTAGAAATCTCCAGTGAAATTATCCAAGTTTAGGGGCACCTGGGTAGTTCAGAGGTTGAGTGGTTGACCTTTGGCTCGGGTTGTGATCACGAGGGTCCTGGGATCAAGTTCTGCATCAGGCTCCACACAGGGATAAAACCTAGTTGGGGAGCAGCCCAGGTGGCTCAGTGGTTTAGTACCGCCTTCAGCCCAGGGCCTGACCCTGGAGACCTGGGATCGAGTCCCACATCAGGCTCCCTGCATAGAGCCTGCTTCTTCCTCTGCCTGTGTCTCTGCCTCTCTCCCTCTCTGTGTCTCAAATAAATAAATAAATAAAATCTTTAAAAAAAAAAACCTAGTTGGGGATTGATGGTGGTAATGGTTGCACAATAATACAAATATATTTAATGTCACTGAAATGTACACTTAAAAATGGCTAAAGTAAACTTTATGTTATGTATATTTTAACAACAACTGAAACATAACCCAGTTGGGGATGATACAGATACAGACACACAGAGATAGAGACAGAGATGTTATATATACACATACATAACTATATAAGAATTTTTACTGGGCAGCCCCGGTGGCTCAGCAATCTAAGCGCCTGCCTTCAGCCCAGGGCATGATCCTGGAGTCCCAGGATTGAGTCCCACTTCAGACTCCCTGCTGGAGCCTGCTCCTCCCTCTGCCTGTGTCTCTGCCTCTCTTTTTCTCTCTGTGTCTATCATGCATAAATAAATAAAATCTTAAAAAAAAAAGAATTTTTACTTTGTTAGTTTATAATGAAAGGGTTGGCTCTATATGTACTCTCCTCAAAAGAAAAAAAAATGAGTAAAGAAAATGTGTCTAATATCTCACTTTTGTTTTCAATACTCTAAGAAACATGAGCTTCTTAAAAGGTTAAATCTATCTTTATCTTGAGATTTATATAATAGAAAGTCATGTCATGAATAATCTGGACAGGACGTCAAGGCCGCATCAGAGCAACATAAATAAATTATATTCTCATCCTAAAGACTGCTTATACTGCTGCAAATTTACTTCTGAGAAGGAAGTTATTTTATATTTAGCTTCATTTACATATCAAACTTCTGGGATGACAAGACTTTTTAAGTTCCCTTTATGTTTCTTTTCTGGGTCAAAAGACTTAGAGGTCCTCTTCCTGCTACTTGCTGATTTTTTTTTTTTTTTTGGTAATTTCTTCTGGTATTTGGTTCATATTTCATTATTCACTGTCATTTTCGTTATCACAGACTGGTATTACCCCAGTTCCTGTGACACAGGTCCTGTGGCCGGATCATTGAGTCACCACCCATGCAACTGGCACTTTCCATTAGTCCAGAGAACCACGGACAAAGTCTAAAAAAGTCTGGAAAAGGAGTTGGGAAAAGACCTCTCCCAGCGCGTAGGCCCTGAAGTCCAAGTCTTGCTGTCAATGGTGTGCTCTCCTCACACATACACAGGTCTTTCCCATAATGCTGGGATCCAGGGGAAAGGACTCCTGTGGTTATGAAGAGGGGAATTGAAAGTGGAGTTTCCTCCTGTTGCTGTTTGCATAGCACTTGCTCTCTGCAGCTAGGAAGTCACCAGGGAGATAGCAGAATCGGATTCCATTGTTACTCTGCCCCCTGACAACGCCTTCTCCACCCCACAGCCAAATGTTTTATACGCTATGTTTTCAAATATGTTTTATATTTAAGAACATAAATCGTGGGGCACCTGGGTGGCTCAGTCATTAAGTGTCTGCCTTCAGCTCAGGTCATGATCCCAGGGTCCTGGGATGGAGCCCCACATCCTCGTCCTCATCCTGTCCTGGCAGTTGGGCTCTCTGCCCAGTGGGGAGACCGCTTCTCCCTTTTCCTCTGCCTGCCGCTCCCCCCGATTGTGCTTTCTCTCTCTCTCTCTAATAAACAAATAAATAAAATCTTAAAAAAAAAAAGAAGAACATAATCAGATAGTTTCTTTGTTGCTTAGCCTCTAATGGTTTTCCAGTGCTCTTAGAGTAATATCCAAACTCTATATGTCAGTGTGATCTGGCTTCAATCACATTGGCTCCTGTCCCTCAAAGTCATTAAATGATTTTCCCACCCCAAAGCCATTACCCTGGCAGCTCCCTGCCTCAGCTCTTCCCATACAGGGGTTCATTCTCATCCTTCAGTCTCAATTCAAATATTACTTCCTATCACATCATCTGACTTAGTTCCTTCATAGCACTGACCACACTGTATAACTGTCCTATATATTTTGCTGGCTTATTATCTGTGTCTTTTCCCTGAACTCAAACGTAAACTCTCTACAGCACTGTTGTCTGTCTTGTTTACTGTTGTGTGTGCGGTACCTGGCACTGCCTGAGTAAGGTGGGTGCTCTGTGTAAGTGTGGATAAACAAATAAAGGAGTGCGTAAAGATCCGTACCTTCTGCCTCAAATCCTAGTGGCCATAAAACAGCTCCCCAATGTATACCACATCGTGGGACAAGTATCCCACAATCCAAGAATTTATAGTCTGAAGTTTATTCTTAAAGAAAAAGGCAAATACTTAATGTGCTAAGAATTACTGTTAAGAAGGTATCTCTATCCCACCCCCAAAAGAGATAAAATTTTGATAAATTTACCATTTGCAAAGAGAACACCCAATGGCTAGTACCCACATCTTCCAGACCTTAAAAAGATCACGTGCTTGCTAAGTCGCCACCTAGGGTGTATCCTCAGGAAGACAGGACTGGAATACAGAGATGTTAAGAAACTTAAACTTTTGGGTGCCTGGGTGCCTCGGCTGGTTAAGTGTCTGCCTTTGGCTCAGGTCATGATCCCAGACTCCTGGGACTGAGTCCCCCATTGCGCTCCGTGCTCAGTGGTGAGTCTACCTCTCCCTCTACCCCTCTGCCCTGCTCATGTGTGCTCTCGCTCTCTATCATTCTCTCCCAAATAAATAAGATCTTTAAAAAAGAAAGAAAGAAAGAAAGAAAGAAAGAAAGAAAGAAAGAAAGAAAGAAAGAAAGAAAGAAACTTAAACTTCTTTCGAGTTACACACAGGGGGGTGTGGTTCATATGGAGTCTAAAAAAAATGAGCACCAGAAGGAAGAATCTGCTTGTTTCTCAAACACTGTGTATTCTAGGAAAAAGCATATTTGCTTCTAAATAGCCAGTCCTTCTCTAAACATAATCATGCTGCAAAAGTGAAAAGCAATCCTTTCGAAGCTAGCAAGCCAAAGGAGCAACTGAGAAAGAGACTCGGTTGCTCCAGTGCTATTCCACTCAGGTACCCCGTCTCCTTTCCACCCTGGCGGCCCAGGAACTGCTTCTCCCAGTTGCCTTGGGTAGGCTCCTCCCCAGGAAACTGATGTGAATTACCTGGGAGGGAAGGAGGAGTCACAAGTGAGGGTTGTCCTTCTGTTGTTTGAACGATTTAATGTCTTAAAGTGAGCCTGTATTCATGCATCATTTATAATAAAAACAGAAGGGACATCTGGGTGGCTCAGTGGTTGAGTGTCTGCCTTTGGCTCAGGGAGTGATCCCGGAGACCTGACATCAAGTCCCTCATCAAGCTCCCCGCAGGGAGCCTGCTTCTCCCTCGGCCTGTGTCTCTGCCTCTCTCTCTGTGTCATTCAGGAATAAATAAATAAAATCTTTAAAATATATATATATATATATATATATATATATATATATATATATATACAATAAAAAGAGATAATAAACTTACTTTAAAAATAAACCTCTAACTTATCTTCTTAGAATGAGACTGTCTTCCTGGGAAACAGCCACTTGAAAAGTAATTTGTCTTTTTTCATGAATGTACATTTATCACACAATTCAGCAACTCCACTCATAGGCATTTATCCAAAGGAAGTGAAGACATATGTCCACACAAAGACTAGCACATGAACATCCATAGCACTTTATTCTTAAAAGCCAAAGCTGGACACAATTCAAATGTCCAAAAACCAGTGAGTGAATAAACAAATTGTAGTGCACACAGAATACTCTCCAGTAATAACATGAAGGGACCTGAAGAGACACACAACATGCATGAATCACAAAAGCATTATGTTGAAGAGTGTATACTACATATTTCACTTAACTCTAGAAAAAACAAATTGAGTCTATAATAATAAATAGGAGATCATTGGTTGCCCGAGGTCAGGGTTTGGGGGGTGAGTTTTTACTAGGAAAGAGCACAAGGGAACTTTCCAGGGGGTTGGAAATGTTGTCATCTTCATTGTGTCAGTGATGACAGAAGTGTATACATTCGACAAAACTCACTTAGAAATGGAGGCAAATTTTTAAGACACTGGATTGCGAGAAGCTTAAGGAATTTGAACTAAACTTGAAGCCATCAAGGAAGTATAAGAGATTTTTAAGGTAAATTGAAAGGCAAGGAAATCATTTAAGAGGTAACAAAATATGCCAAGTATAAGCTGATAAGCACCTGAGTGAAATACAGTGAAGGGCAGTGGTGTGCTGGTAAATGTTTAACAAACAGCTCTGGTGGGGATGGGGAGCCCTGATTTTGGGGTATCTGTCCATTTCCCTGGTGTAAATATTCCCAGCACGGCATTTTTCAAGCAACAAATGTGATGTTATTGAACAGGGTCTGAAAAGAGACGCTCCACCATTGGCTCTCACAAGCCAATACAAGCAGCCCCAGCACACAACAGGGTAGAGGGCATTTAGATTTGAGAAAAACAGTTAAAATGTGTGTGTTAGCTAGAGTAAGGCAAACTGTACTAACAAGTTTGAACCACTAAAACTTAGTGATTCAAAAACAGACTTCTTTCCTTTTCAAATAACATTCAGGGCCAGAGATCCCAAGTTGGTGACGGCTCTGGTTCACATAGTCATTCAGGGACCCAGGCTGACTGAGACTCCATATCTTGAATAAATCACTCCCCAAGTCACTCTGGCCACTTCTATCATTGGAAATTCAGCCCCTGAGAGGAGGAAAGAAAGAATATAAAGGAAAGCACATACACACACACACACACACACACACACACACAAGGAAAGCACAGAGGATATTTTATGGAGCAGGCTTAGAAGTAGCACATACCATGGTCTGCTTATATTTCTTTGGAAAACTTAATAACCTGGCTCTATCTAACTTCAAGGGAGACTGAGAAATATGAAGCTGGAAAGCCAAATGGGAGACAGAGCATTCTGGAGCTCAGATAGCAGTCTGTGCTATTTTGAGAGATTCTGAGAAGGTAGGGCTGTCCGATAAAATAGAGGATGTCCAGTTAAATTTGAATTTCAGACCCAAACAAATGAATCATTTTGTGGTATCCATATTCCCAAATATTACACAGGACATACTTATATTAAAAAAATTATTTTTGGGGCGCCTGAGTGGCTCAGTGCTTGAGCATCTGTCTTCAGCTCAGGGCATGACCCTGGGATCCTGGGATTGAGTCCCACATCATGCTCCCCACAGGGAGCCTGCTTCTCCCTCTGCCTGTGTCTCTGCCTCTTTGTGTGTGTGTCTCATGAATAAATGAGTAAAATCTTAAAAAATATATTTTTAGTTTATCAGAAATTCAGATTTAACTGAACACTTGCAATTTTATTTACTAAATCCAGCAAGAGTAATTACCAGGTTTCAGAATTGGATGAGATAGTAATTGGTAATGCTATTATCTGGAGGAGAGATGACAAGTACAGGATAATCAAACACACAAGAGATCCACTATAAGCCACAATGGCAGTTCACTAACTTAAAAATGGGACGTGTATTTGGTAGTTTTGACTAATATTTGCCATTGGTCAGATCATTCTGGGTACTCTTAGGACAGTCCAGTCAAGATACAATAATCATAGACCAAGAAAGTAGGATGGAAACAATAGCATTAGGGCAAAATATGGAAAGATTTCCAAGCTACATAAAGTAAAAAAGGCTAGGTGCTGAGTAATGTGTACATGTGTGCGTGCACATGCAGGCATGTGTGCTTGTATATGTGTGGAGTGTCTGGAAGGAAACAAGAAACTGGTAACAGAGATGGTCTCTAGAGGGGAACTGAATATATGAGTGAGGGAACAATGGAAGAGGCTAATTTTTCACAATATCACCTCTGTAGGGGCCAAAGGCAGAGCACTCCAAGATGGGCCACTTTGGCATGAAGAGTATTTTGAGTTAAAAAGCAACCAAGACCCACCAGATTCAGGAAAATCTCTACTTTCTCTACAGCTGCCTAAAATAATTTAGAGAGAGAATCTGCTCCAGGAAGAGAGCTATCACTATTGGTAACTACAGTACGGTATGAACTAGGGATGATGGACAGGGAGCAAGCTAGCAAGGCTTGTTTGATCAAAGTCCTCTCTTTGTCCCATTGTTTCTGAGTGGTCCACCAAACATTCAAGTACCAAACATTTACCCTTTGTCATCTTCCTGAGGATTGCTTCCTTCCCTACCCCCTCTCCTTGGCTCAGGATGACATATATATCTCATTTTGCTTGACTGTCTTTGGAATTTCCATGTCTGTGTGGGTCTGTGTGGGTTCCCCAGACATACACTATTATATTTGATTTTCTCCTGTTAATTTGCCTCATGTCAATTTGATTCTTGGTTCAGCTAGAAGAATCTTGAAGGGGACAGAACATTCTTATTCCCTGACACCTTTCATGCTTTTTTATTTTTTATCATATGAATATATTCATCGTTCAAAAAGTCAATCATTTTTAAAGATGTATTTATTTTAGAGAGAGAGACAGTGAGCAGAGGGAGGGGCAGAGGGAGAAGGAGAGAATCTCAAGCAGACTCCCCATGGAGCACAGAGCCTGATGAGGGGTTCTATCCCATGACCCCTGAGATCATGATGTAAGCCAAAATCGAGAGTTGGGTGCTTAACCTACTCAGCCACTCAGGCAACCAAAAAATATTAATCTTCAAAAACAAATAATCCCAGGGCACCTGGGTGGCTCAGTGGTTGAGCATCTGTCTTCAGCTCAGGATGTGACCCCGGGGTCCTGGGATTGAGTCCCACATTGTGCTCCCCACAGGGAGTTTGCTTCTCCCTCTGCCTATATCTCTGCCTCTGTGTGTCTCTCATGAATAAATAAATAAAATCTTAAAAAAAGAAAAAGAAATGATACCACTTCCCACTGGAAAAAAAAAAAAAAACAAGCCTCTTTAAAAAAAAAAAAAAAAACAGGCCTCTTTAAAGAAATGGATGCTTCTGGGGTTGGGGCAAGGTATTGTGCCAGAAAATGAAGGTAAGCCCCCAAAATGGTAGGAACATGTGAAAAGGACACAAGAGCTAGCCTACTGGCAAAATACACTACAATATAATTATGAAAATAAATAAATAATAAACATAATGGCATTTAACCTATAAGAGTAAAATAAGTATCCATGAGTTCATACATAGAAACACACATATTCACTTACATACATACATTCATTAGTGAGGGAAAGGAAAGGCTCTTCTTTAAAATGGAATGCCAGTTAATATAGACAGAATGATGGGTCAAATTAATTATTTTACAAAAATCACAGTAATAATTGATTTAGGACAAAATCATCAATAGATTCTACTTTACAGAAGTTATTCATTGAGCTCCAGATCTTGCCTGGTCTAGATAATTTATCTCCTTTGATTAATACTATACATGTAATATACTAATATGTTACACATAATAATTTTGTATGGGTGTGTGTGTGTATATATATATATATATATATATAGAGAGAGAGAGAGAGAGACAGAGAGAGAGTTATCTGTTAGGATTAGGTTCAACTGATATAAAAGAACCCTTTCTCCCTCCTGTTGTATTTCATAAATCTCATTTTCTCTCATGTAAGAGATGACCTGAGGTAGGCGGTTCTAGAGTAGTATGCCAGTGTGTAAAGTGGTCCTGGGATCCCTGGGTGGCTCAGCGGTTTAGCCCCTGCCTTCAGCCCAGGGTGTGATCCTGAAGTCCCAGGTTCAAGTCCCATATCAGGCTCCTTGGATGGAGCCTGCTTCTCCCTCTGCCTGTGTCTCTGCTTCTCTTTCTCTCTCTCTCTGTCATGAGTAAATACATAAAATCTTTAAAAAATAAAATAAAAATAAAAAAGTAAAGTGGTCCTTTCAGTTCCATTCCACCATCTGTAGAGTGTTACCCTTCTTCTCATGATTCAAAAGGACTTCCAGAGACACCTGGATGAGCATCTGCCCTTGGTTCAGGGCGTGATCCCGGGGTCCCAAGATCGAGGCCCACATTGGGCTCCCGGCATGGAGCCTGCTTCTCCCTCTGCCTGTGTCTCTGCCTGTCTCTGTCTCTCATGATTAAATAAAAACAATCTTAAAAAAAAAAAAAAAAAGACTTCCAGAGTTCCAGTGGTCATACCCACCTTCCAGAAAACAACTGCACTCTATTGCAGTCCCTTCCACACCTGCTAACTTAGTTATATGGCCCCATCATCACGCAAAGGCAGCTGGGAAATGTAGTCTTTGAACCCTGTGTCCTGCTAAAACCCAGGGTGCTGTTACTTAAGAGGAAGGGGGAAATGAATAGCCATTCTATGATAGGCAATACTGAGACCATCTTAGAGCTGAGGAAACTGAAGCGCAGAGCTCAGACTGCTTAAATAACTTGCCCACATTCACGCAGCTTGTAGGAGTTACAGCTGGGACTGTTGCACCTCAGCTCTCTTGCTCTCTCTCTCCCCAAAGCCGGCAGACTTCCCAACACCCACCCCCAGCCCAGCTCACTGCACAACAGCATAGAGCTCAGCACCATGCCAGCTTCTCTGAAGCTAATGCAGGAGAGCCAGAGGAGAGGCAGGCAGGGACAGGAGGCCCCACCCAAAGAGGGAAGGAGCACCCCCCCAACCTTTCCCATGTGGTAGGTAGATGACAAAAACCTGATTGGGTGGCCGGCCCAGAGAGGGTTAATCGGATTAAAACAGCCTGCCAACAAACCCATAAAACCCCTAGAGGAAGAAACTCTCTCTGGGGTCCCCTCCCTCTTTGGGAGCTGTGTGCTGGGGCTCAATAAACCTTGTTCTGCTGCCCACCTCTCTGTCTGGTCCACCTCTCCGTTCTTCGAAGCAGCGTGGCCAAGAACCTTGGGAACAGAAGGAAAAGAAATCCTGTAACAAAGCCACACCATACACACAGCATATTTATGTGATACACATTTTGCTCCAGGATTTAGGAATAAAACAAGTTTACTTAACACAAATATAGCCATGTTATGGTGTACAGCAAGACCAGATTCGCACTTATTTTTATGATTAAACAAGAGACCTGAAGAAATTTGATCATGGGTTAGTCCCTGTGGACTGGCCAAGCTTGAGAAGCACCCCCTTCCCCACTGCCCAGCACCGTTTCCACTACACACCTGTTTGTTGTTACTTGGTGTCTCTGGTTACAGCTGTCTGTTTTCTGACCTTATCACCAATTACAGAGTTTACTCTGCTTGGAGCCTATAGCCTCTACATCCCAATAGTACTCCTGTCTTACATAGTATTGATTTGTACCAGCTGCTGTTATAAAGAAAACTAGGCCCCAAATGGTGTCACTTGGGCCAGGCCAAGTCACCAAGCCAGGACTTAATACCTAACCTAATTGCAGTTTCAACCTCCCCCAGAAACGAGAAACCTTAATGGGTGAGTCAGGCATTTTCCCATAAATACCCATAAGATAATCCATCCCGGGGGCCTTCTCCATCCCCCCAAGGGAGATGAGGTCATCTGCATAATAAGACCCTCGCGCTCCCCTGTGATCTGGCCTGAAACAAGCCTTTCTTTTCTCTCGCTAATAGCTTCCCGGCCCCACCCTCCTTCCTATTAAAACCTTTTGTACAACTCAGGAGCTGTCCTCTCCTTACTGATGGGATGCTGCCCAATACACTTAATTTCATTAACCATTTAATAATGCCAGTTAGAACTTCAAAATTACTTGATTCCATTTTGTTTTTTTAACACTGCCAATTGATTTTTTTAATGATGATTTTTAATAGAAATGTTCTGATGTTTTTAAAAGTTGGAAAATGACTGGTGATCCCATTTAAATAGAGTCCCAATGTAATAATAATATTGCTACTACAAAATATAATTTCCCAGCCATTTCACACAGCTTTAGGAATATCAGCTGATTTGCAAGGAAGGGTCTTGATTCTGACAAATAATTCTATGTGGCCCTGAAAGCATACAGTCTTAACTCGTGATTATACTTCCAGCCTAGCAGTTCCTTTGATGCTAAAGGTCCCAGAGTTTTCTGCAGATAGATCTTTCATGGATGGAAGTTTTAATTGCAGAGCATCATGCAGCTGATGAGATCCTATTATAGTGTCTGCTTAAAGGTCCTGGCTCAATTTTAAATAAAGCTCCCTAGAATACTACCAATTTTGGTGTTTGCTCCCTACAATTATTATACAAGCTAATGAAAAGTTTAGGAATACAATTTGGAGTACTATCAAATTAGTTCCAGACATCTGACAGGGAGATCTGCAAATGATATATATAAAAAACATTTCTTTTTTTAGGGCACAGATAGCAAAGAGCTTAGCAACATGTACCAAAGTTTGATTATAATGAGATAAATGGATTATAGTTTATATGGACAAGTAGCTCAGAGACTTTCTAATGTTAATAAAAATCAGCTCAATCAGGTTGCCTTAGTATTAACACAGTTTTTCAGGGTGTTTGGGTGGGGAAAACAGAGGAGGGAACATCTGAAATATTATATATGGGAAACTACACTTCCTAATGCCTTGGGCTCTTACAAATAGATGACATTTAAGCCAAATAAAAAAGTAAGGTTGGGACCCTTGCATCTGCTGCACGGGAAGACACAATATTTAGACATTGGGGAAAAAATGTCTAAGACATCCTGAAAATTATAGAAGTTCTGTCCTTTGGGATCCAAGACTCTGGGTTCTATGATGACCCTGTCATAGGGTTTCCCAACCAGGATTTAGCAAAAGGCAGGAAAACCATAAATTTCCCAGTCAGCATTAGGTGAACAAAACCAGATCTCAAAAAAGATCTGGGAAAAGATTGGTTATAATTATACCTCTGATGAATGTACATATCAAATTTCATTGGATTTAAGAAACCATCTCAAATTCCAAGGTATTAAAATGTGAGGAAAAAAATCAAATCTGTGCCTTAGAATTGATGATACATGGCGTGGGAGATGAGGACTGGGCTGAGACACACGTTTCCTTAACTGGGAAAGAGGCCAAAGAGAAATATATGTAAAACATAATGACCATGAGGCAGAAATGTTGTTGGGGCAAGACTCAGAACTGGATATGTGCTCAGAACAAACTACAGGCCAGATTAATTAGGAGCTCTGAGTGGGAGGACTATTCTTATACAAGAGTCCATTAGGAAGAGGATCTGTGTCAGTATGTAGGCCCTGTGAAGTCATTAGTTTGGACTGAAATAGTCACATCTACCTTTCCAAGCCCACTGCGGGGTATTACAGAGATAATCACAGAGAAACTTTTCAATTGGTCTCTTATTCCCAAAACAACACCTCCAAGGAAGTGTGGAATCCACACTTCCAATCGTTAAACCAATTGGAATGTTATAGGGTTGTTTTTCTGTTGTTTTTGTTTTTATTGTTATAGGTATCACTGATGGGCACTGGGGATTTAAATAAATTTTGGTTGCCATGGTAGGCTTGAGATTCAGTCAGCTGGAGACTGATAACTAGTCAAAAGGATCTATCCTATCATGTTTATATTCATAATTGCAATGTAATATTTTCTCTGCTTATTTATTTACATTTTGTTTTGTTTTATTTACATTTTGAATGGCTGGTTTGGACTATCGGTTTTAATCTTCTAAATTTCCAATCTTGTCAATCGTCTGTATAACTGAGTCTCTATTTTGCTACTTCACGATCAATAAAGAGGAGTTCGGCTTAATAATAGAGCCATGCAACCTGAAGCCTACAAGACAGAATGCTCTTAACAGTCTAGCTGCCTACAATTGTCCAAACCTGGTTTGTTGCCCACATATTGTGGAGATGGAGGGACAGATGTCTGTGGCAGAAAGCCCAAGATGGCATCCCAACTCTCTTTGCTTTCCTACATGACATAGAATCTCTGGTCTAATTTCTAGAGAGAGAAAACTAACCTGAATAGAATGCTGACAGGGTAGTGTGAGACCTGGAAGGTTGGAGATGTTTAGACTCTATAGAGAAAGTACCAGGGCAAAACTGCAAGCTATTCAACAGAGTATAATATAATTGGAAACGGTATTGTAGGAAATTGGTCTGACTTATCTATTTTCTGCAACCCTAAAATATAGGAAAAAAGTTGTGAAGATTATATCTGATAAAGGCCTTCTATAGAATATAAGAATAAATCTTACAACTCAATAATAGGGGTGCTGGGTGGCTCAGTGGTTGAGTATCTGCCTTTGGCTCAGGGTGTCACCCTCGGGTCCTGGGACTGAGTCCCGCATCAGGCTCCCTGTGGGGAACCTGCTTCTCCCTCTGCCTGTGTCTCTGCCTCTCTCTCTCTCTGTCCCTCATGAACAAATATATAAAATCTTAAAAAAAAAAACCCTCAATAATGAAAAGACAAATCATCCAAATTTTTTAAATGGGCACAAAAATATGAATAAACATTTCCCTGAACATCATCAATAATTAGGGAAATGCAAATCAAAAACAATAAAACATCAATTCATACCCACTAGCTAAAATGGCTATAAACAAACAGTAACACTTGCTGCTAAGGGGGGGTGGGTGGATAGGAACTCTCCTACATGGCTGGTAGGATGTAAAATGGTACAGCTGCTTTGGAAAATAGTCTGACAATCCCTCAGGAGGCTAAATATAGAGTTACCATATGGCTCAGCCATTCCATTCTAATGTATAAATCCAAGAGAAAGGAAAACATATGTCCACACAAAACTTGCACACACATGTTCACAACAGCATTATTCGTAATAGCCAAAAAGTGGAAACAACTCAAATATACCAACCGAAATGGTACACAACATGCAGTATATCCTTATAATAGAACTTTTTTGGCCATGACAATGAATGAGTACCTGAATCTTGAAAAGATTATGCTAAGTGAAAGAAGCAGACCCAAAAGACCACATATTGCATGACTCCACTTGTATGAACTGTCCATGATAGGGTAATCTATAGAGACAGGAGATTCATGGTTGCTCGGGGATAGGCTTGTGGAGAAATGAAGAAGTAACTGCTAGTGTCTATGGGATTTCTTTTTAGGATCATCAAAATGTTTTAAAATTGAGTGCCGTGATGGTTGCACAATTTTGCAAGTGTATTAAAACCCATTGCGTTGTATACTTTAAACAGGTGAACTGTTATGGTATTTATCTCAAAAAAGCTGTTAAAACGAAAACCTTAAATCATCTGTTTCCATATTCAAGCAGATGTCCAAATACCGAGTTGACAGCTAGTTATTCTCCTTCCCCTAACCATCAGCATTCTCAGATAGCTTGTTTTTTTCTTTTCTTTTTAAATTATAGCCAGTACTGGGGAATTGAATCATGAAGCTCTGGTTGGACTTTAGAGATTGGCTTGATTTTTCAGAAAGTCAGTAACCCTATCTCCCGTTTCCTGTTTAGCTATTATCAGCCTAACCTTATGGGCCTCTGTTTTTTCCTCATTTGTGAATACAAAAGATTGCACAGATAATCTCTGAAAGTTCTTCCTGTTACACTGAAGGAGCTTGGACTACTCCATCAGTGGAAGTGCTGGTTTTCTTCTTCTCCTTAGAACTAGTCAAAACCTGATATGATTTCAATTTACTTAGATGATTAGCAGGACCGGTTACGAAAAACTTATAGCAGATCTTTGTATAGACAGAAAGACAACAGATGCATAACAATGTGAGGTCAACACTTGTGGAGGTCAATTACTTAGTACCCACCTCAGAACAATAAATCAGTCTCCAGTAATTGTGTTCATTTCTTATTTTTACCTGTTTATAAATGACCAATCAAGAAAATAAGAAAAAAATGTATGTATCCAAGTAGGGGGGATAAGGACCTCAACCTTCATAGATAATCACTATTAATATTTCAGTGTATTTTCTTCCAATAATTTTGCTCTGTAGGTGTTTTGGGTTTTTGTCACTAAACACTAGAAGCATTTCTCCATGCCATTTTTTTTTCCTCCATGCCATTAAGTAGTTTTCATAAACATAATTTAATGACAATGGAGGTATCAGTTTATTCAACCATTATCTTATCACTGGATGTATAGATTGCTTCCAGTTTTTCCCTATCTGAAATAATGGGGAAAAAAGATTAATATCTTTATGCAGAAAGCCTGTGGTGTTTAGGATTATTTCCTGTGGTAGATTCTGATTCCTAAGAATTAAAATTAATGAATCAAAGGATATGACCATTTCATAGCATTTGTCAAGAAGTTGTACCAATTTACACTTATATGGAGTAGTGATATCATTAATTTACTTCATATAACTGGACCCACAAAATGAAGGTTACCCAGTGGCCCAGTCCAAGTCACAAATCTAAACTCAAGTCAGCCTGCATGGACCAGAAACACCTGTCATGGAATCCCACCATACACCAATCATAACCATCCAACTCAGCTTTAGCTAGCTTACCTTACCCTAGAAGACCGAACCTGCTAGCCTTATAAGGAAATCCCTGATCTTCTGAGCTAATCATGCTGTTTCTCAGTTGCTCCTTCTAAAGCTCTGTGAGACTCGCTCTTGCCCCAAATCCCTCGGGAAGAGCACTCCATTGCTCTTGAGGCACTGTACTTCCCTAGACATACACAGATTGGTTTCCCTTGAATAATGGACATCAAATTGGTTACTAAATTGTAGTTTTGTCATTTGATAGAGATAGTTAAGATAGATTTAGTGTCCTACAAAGTATAATTTAAGACCTGAAATTTCTAAGTTAGGTCTTCATCATTGAAATATTTAGTGGGGCATATGCCGGTGGCTCAGTCAGTTAAGTGTCTAACTCTTGATTTAGGCTCAAGTCATGATCTCAGGGTTGTGAGATGAGGTCCCACATAGGGCTTACGCTCAGCGTGGAGCCTGCCCTCACTACCTTGCTCTCAAACAAAATTTTTTTTTTTGAAAGAAATAGTTACTTATTGTTCATTATCTATATACTCTTTTTAGAATCTAAGCTCTACAAGGGCAAGAATCTTGGTTTATTGGTAGATCTCAAGCATCTCGAACAGTGCCTGACAGACGGAAGACACTTAAATATTTGTTTTAAGAACAAATGAAAAAAAAAAAAAAAGAACAAATGAAATAAAGCAGCCGCCTTCAGCCCAGGGCCTGATCCTGGAGACCTGGGATCAAGTCCCATGTCGGGCTCCCTGCATGGAGCCTGCTTCTCCCTCTGCCTGTGTCTGCCTCTCTCCCTCTCTCTCTCTGTCTCTCATGAATAAATAAAAAAAAAATTTAAAAAGGCTTTAAGAAAAGAAATGAAATAGGGAATGTTTATTTTTTTGATCATTATTATTATCAGTTCCGACACTCAAGCAGCTAGATTCCATAGCAGATTGTAACAGCACGGGTACAGCACGGGTAAATGAGGATGTTCCTATATTCATCCCATCCTCTGGTATTATTTACCATGACACAATTTAAGCTTTGATGACTTATCACATGCTTACTCCAAATATAAAAGTTGCACTTCCTCGGTTCTCATATATAGCAGAAACTACTAGTTGCCAATCTAATGTCAGGTTCTCTTGCTTGTTTGAAGACCATGCGCTCCACTAGAAGCCCTCATTTCTACTCTTCTCTAGAGGCCGACAGGTGTGGCCAAATGACTAATGAGATCTACATGGAACTTGTTGGAAGTCCTTTAAAGAAAGCTCTTTGAAAATGGGAACAAATAGCTGGTGTGGTCCTTTGTTTTCCTTCTGCTTCCTGCCTACGGTGTGAACATGATGGCTCCAACAGCCCTATCTTGAACAATGAGGTAAACTGAAGGCTGGAAACTCTGTTCAGTGGGTGATAGAGCAGAAAGATACAAGGAATCATTGTAGGGTTTTTTAAAAAATATTTTATTTATTCATGAGAGACACAGAGAACGAGCATCCCATTGCCACCAGGCATCCCATTGCAGGATTTCGTTTCCTTCGATGCCCGTGCTTCTTGGTCACGCTGCTTCAAAGAATGAAGAGATGGACCAGATGGAGTGTGGGCTGCAGAACAAAGTTTATTGAGTGATAGTACAAAGCTCCCAAAGGGGGATGGGACCCAAGAACGTTGCCATGGGGAGTTTCTATGTCTAGGGGTTTTTATGAGCTTGTGGGTGGGGTGTTTTAATCTGATCAAACATGTGCCTGTCATCTGATCAGGTCTTTGTCATCTATCACGTGGGAAAGGGTGGAGGGCTCCTTCCAGCGTGGTGTAAAATCTTTTAAAGGATGAGTTCCTCCAAAGGCGGGGATCCTTGTCTTCCAACTATCCATCATCAGAATCACAATCTCAGGTGATGTGGAGATGTAAAAGATTTCAAAATGGAGCAAGCAAGCCTAGCTAAGAGTTTCTTTTAAATAGGACCAGGAGGGGGACACCTGCGCGGCTCAGTGGTTGAGCATCTGCCTTTGGCTCAGGTCGCGACCCTGGGGTCCTGGGATTTAGTCCCTCATCGGGCTCCCCGCGGGGAGCCTGCTTCTCCCTCTGCCTGTGTCTCTGCCTCTCTTTCTCTCTCATGAATAAATAAATCTTAAAAAGAAAAAAAAAAAACCTAAACTGTTTTCAGTTTCTTTAAATAGATTAGATAGGCCATAAGGGAGGAATTTATGCAAGTCATCACCTGAGAAACTATGAACCCTTTGCCAGGGGCAGGCTCTCAGCCTGGACTCAACTCTCTTCTCACCAGGACACCTGAATGACTTTTCACATTTCTCACTTCAAAAGGAGCCAATTCAATCTGAGGACAAGTTTCAATTCCTCTTTTGCATATTAACCCAACCAATCCCAGTTGACCGACTTTCACATCCCTGTTTGGCTCACTGATCCTAAATAAGGATTGCATTCGTGACCTTTCATCTTCATAACTCTGCCCCTTCTTCCTCTTCCTCGGAACACAAGTCAGGTTTCTACCTGAATCTGTCTCTGAATCACAATTCTAATTGCCCAAAAAAATCCCCGTTTGCTTAAATGGTCAGTGAATTCTTTCCTGGTCAACCACACCAACCCCTGGACTGCCTGCTTCTATGCTATTTTAAATAAGAAAAAAAAGGAAGCACTATCTTTATGTTTTAAGCCAGTTATTTCAGGTTTCTTATCAGCTAAACACAATCTCAAACCGATGAACTAAATAGGCTGTCCTCTTTGTAAAGCTTTGAAGATTTCAGTCATACTATGAATGTTCTTTAAAAACACAGAGAAAAAAGAGAGAGAAAAAAAAAGAGGAAAAATAAAAACAGAGAAAAAATTAAAAAGTAAAAATACAGAGAAATGGGGACGCCTGGTTGAGCGTCTGCCTTCGGCTCCGGGTCCTGGGATCAAGTCCCACTTCGGGCTCCCTGCAGAGAGCCTGCTTCTCCCCTCTGCCTGTGTCTCTGCCTCTCTCTCATGAATAGATGAAATCATTAAAAAAAAAAAAGGGGGGGGGGAGAAATGGACCACGCCTCCAGCCGCACCAGTGTCTCTCAGCATTACCTGCTCTGGACCTCATTCCTCACTTTGGCTCAAAAGGGACTCCAACTGCTCCCACTACCCCCGTGGCTCCTGCATCTGTGCCCACTCGTGCACATGCTGTAAGCAGAGCTGCTGCCCCTGCTGCCCCATGGGCTGTGCCAAGCATGCCCAGGGCTGCATCTGCCAAGGAGGCATCAGGCAAGTGCAGCTGCTGTGCCTGATGTGAGGGAGAACCTGTTCCAGATGTAAACAGCAGCATGTACGAACCTGCAGTTTTAAAACATTTCTCACCTTTCTTCATTTCGTTACCCTGTTTGCTACATTCCTTTTTCTATGATATACATGAATTATAACAAAAGTTGGTGACTTAGAGATATTTTGCTTTATGTACTTATTTATTAAAGAATAAGAAGAGCTTCTTATTGAGCTAATCGCCAAGTTTTAATTTTAATCATGAAAAACAATATTTGGCCCATAAATTGGAAGCAGGGAATAATAATTTCATATGGCATCATTGAACCTTACCTTGCAAGAGTAAGACCATGAAATAGCTTTGGATGTTACAGTTCAGGAATAAAGAGGAAATCTGATGATTCCTTGATGCCATGAAGAATAAAAGATTAAAATCTAATTTCTGGTCATGGACTGCTACAAGAGTTTGTCCATTACTGAGACAAAACAAGGAAAGGTTTTTGAAATTTGCTTTTATATTTGTAGCTGTGTAAGTCTGTCCTCCAAGAAGTAGAGGCCAAGTAATTAACCTAAAATGAATGAATGTGAAACCTAAACCAGCCACCCCCACCCCCCCACCCAGGTCTACAGTAACCTGACTTAGTGTTCCATTGTCTTCATTGGCATAACTGTACTATTCCAGAAGCCTCTTGTCCGGGCAAATGACTTTATTGTTCATTCAGGAACTTGTTTGAAAAATCATCAACTGGGGGCACCTGGGTGGCTTACTGGATTAAGCATCTGCCTTGGGCTCAGGTCATGATCCTGGGGTCCTGGGATGGAGCTCTGCATTGGGCTCCCCACTCAGCTGGGAGTCTGCTTCTCCCTCTCTGTGTCCACATGTGCTCACTCGATTTCCCTCTCAAATAAACCTTAAAAAAGAAGAAAAATCAACTCTTTAATAGAAACCGTTGACATTTTTCCTACCACCACTCTTCCCCAGCCTCACTAATCCTTCCCCATTTCCACCAATCCTAAATCACTATATCACAAATTGAACCTGACTGATCTCCTCCTTGGTAGACCTGCATTTAAATCAGAGTTCAAAATCTCCATAGAAACAGGCCTCACCCTTTCCCCTTTGGGACACAACAAAGCTTTCTGGAGGTGGTAACTCTCCTGTGCAACAGTGAGCAACAAGCTCAGTTTCATCTTGTTGAGATTTGTGAGCTGGCATTTAACACATGCAAAAGATTTGTTAGGGCAAGGTCTGTGAAGGGAACAGGAAGGACTTGGAGGAGGCTGAGAGAGCGGTCATCCTACAGCAGGTCTGAGGCAAGATGCAGAGAAAGTGGGCAGGGAGGAAAGGAGGAAGGGACGGCAGGCAGCAGTGCCGTTCTCAGAGAATTTATAAGGCCTGTGTGGAGTTACCGAGCCAAATTCAATTACTCCGCAAAGTAGTCCTACATTTTGCAGGAATCTGATTTCTTTGACCTTGGCTCGCTCAGGGCACATCAGCTGCGAGCTGGACGCATGTTATGGGAAGCAAGACCCCAGCCCCACAGCAGTTATGGGGTCCAGAGCAATCAAACCTGCTTGCAGTTACAGGAGATGTGAGACACATTCTCCTGACTCAGGATGCCTGATGATCCAGCCTCTGAAAAGACAACTTACAAAAAGTGTGACCTTCTGAGAAAAAAGCATATAATGAATGAAAAAACTCCAAAGGAGTCTAACATAGATATTCAAGTGAATTTATTAACTATAAAAAATCTAGTCAAAACAATTGGGATTTTTCTGCATTTTTAAATATGCTCAAGATAATATCTGTTATTAAATTCAGTTTATTGGGGCACCTGGGTGTCTCAGTCGGTTGAGTGTCTTTCTTTTGATCTCAGCTCAGGTCTTGATCTCAGGGTTGTAAGTTCGAGAGCTCTGCATTGGGCTCCACATTGGGTGTGGAGGCTAGTTAAAAATAATGAACTCACTTTATTAACTGTTAATAAAAACGAAAGAATAACTTAAAGTGACAACTTGAGCGTTGTTTACCTTGTTTCATTTTGTTTGATTACTAACCAACTGATGTATTTCCGATCTTTGACAGTGCTACCGACTGGTGTACCCCAAAATTCATATGCTGAAGCCCTAACCCCCAACATGACTGTATTTGGAGATAAAGCCTTTAGGAAGGTAATTAGGGTTAAATAAGGTCATAAGGATAGCGCCCTAATCCAAAAGGACTGATGGCCTTATTAGAAAAAGGAGAGAGGATGCCTGGCTGGCTCAGTAGATAGAGCATGTGACTCTTGATCTTGGGGTGGTTTGAGCCCCATGTTGAGCATAGAGATTATCTGGAAAAGAAAAAAAAAAAGAGGGAGAGAGATTTCCCTTGCCCTCCAGCCTTCACCGTGCTCTTTTTGTGTAGCTTTGCTTCAGACAGCTGATGTTAGTAAACAGAGATTAGCTAGTAGACAGAGTCACAGAATTCCCAGGCCAACAATGGCGCTAAGCACAAAGTCTCAACAGCAGAAAAACTACGTCTCCTACGTTTAGTGGGCACCCTCTCCTCAGCTTCTATTTTGAGGTTGCTCCAATATCAAGAAACAAAGAAAACTCACTTGGGGCTTTATCCCATTGTTTTTCATGGACCTCCAGCCTTCCAGCCCCACTAATCCGTGCAATCTGATTTCCTCCACCACTCCCATGCCTGTCTACAACTATTCACAGTAGCTAAAGACCCGCCTTCTGTCAAAGGATTCAGTCCCCACCTTGATTTCTTGGGAGTGTTCATCATTACTACATCCTTCTAGAAACTTTTTTTAAGATTTCATTTGAAAGAGAAAGACCAAGAGCCTATAAGCTGGAGGGAGGGGCCGAGGGAGGAGAAACAGGCTCCCCACTGAGCAGGAAGGGACTCGATCCCAGGAGCCTGAGATCATGACAGGAGCCGAAGGCAGACACTTAACAGAGCCACCCAGGTGCCCCAAAGCTTTTTGCCCCCTTACTTTTAGACACCAGCCTCTCCTTGTTCTCCTCTGACCAGGTGTCGAGTCTCCCTTCTACCAATCCTTAAAGGTACGTGTTTCCAGGGATCTCCTCCTTAACGCTTTTCCTGTCTCACTCAAAAGACTTTTTGTGGGTGACCTCACTATCCAAGGCTTCAGCTCCGGAGCTCTTGAAAGTGCTTGCCCCTGACCCTATGAACTCCAAGTCCATAGTTTTTATTTGTCTACAAAGTGACTCCACCTGGGAGTTCCATGAGCACATCACGATTATATGTGCTGACCTTCAGTGCTCCCTGGAGAGCAGCATTTCCACCTCTTTTCCTTATTTGGTACTGCTTTCCACCCTCACCCAAGTCAGACCTAGACTCTGTCCTTTCCTCCCTCGACCATTAGATTTAACTTGCCACTCAGCCCTGTGGTTCCTGTTTCCATCATAGTTCTTAAAACCCTTCTCTTTTCCACCATCACTGCCCCCAATTTATTTGCTGAGAGAGGAAGAGAGATGTGCGTCAGAATCACCTGTGTTGTGTTTTGTTTTTTAAAAATAGGCATGCTTGCCCTGCCTCTCCTCCTGGGATTCCCACCCAGCACATGCTCTTCCTCACCTGCATTTTCTTACTCTTCCCTGGTCTCCAGTCCATCTTCCCACTGCTGACGGCATGATCTTTCAAAAAAAAAAAAAAAAATGCAACCAGGATAGTGCAAACGATCTGCTTATTTTTTCAGAGGTTCTTCAGAGCCTTCAGGATAAAGTCCAAACTCTACTGAGAGCCTCTCACACTTTGGTTCTTGCTTCCACCTCATCTCTGCCACTCCCGTATGGGCACCCTGCACTCGAGCCTTATCAAAGCGTGGTACTTGCTGTTCCTGGAACATCCCTCCTTTCTTTGCCTCGCTCTTCTCAGGGGATATCATCCCTCATCCCTTTCTGCTTAGAAGTCACCTTGTTCCAAAAGCCTCCCCTGACTTCTCCAGGCAACTAGGTATTTCCTGTGTCTCCATGGTATCTTGCTCCTATCATGATTCTGTATTTACTATCGGGTAATTATATTCGTGTTTATACAATGTCTCACCCACTCAACAGTGAACAGACTGTTCAGTCCATTATTGCATGCCCTAACATAGGGCCTGGGGCATACCGTGCACTCAACAAATGTTTACTGGATGAATTTTTTAAGTAGGTTTTATGTTTTTCTGATTGTTTAAAATAGACAGGGTTAGTATATCATAAAAGTAATAGTACTGATGCACTCCCAGCGTAGAATTGTCCTTTGAAATCCTTTTAATGAGTTTATATTTGAACAGCACTTAACTTTTCAGAGCACTTTTCCGCACTTATGAGTATTTCCAAAAAAAAAAAAAATTATGAGTATTTCCAAACATAGGGAAAAGAAAAAGAATCGTAAATGAACACCCACATACCCATTACCTAGATTCTAGTTCAACATATTGTTATATTAGCCCACTTTTTATGGGCTAATTTTCTTATCACCTTTTATTTCATGTAATGACTGAAGTATGATTCTATGTTTTATAGATAAGGAAATGGAGACCAAGAGAACTTAAGGATTTGCTAAGGAGATTATCTCCTAGAGTTGTGATCAACTTGTGCCAGGTGACTCATCCATACCCTGTGGGTATTAGACCTATAACCTGGGTCTGAAAAATGTTTTGAATATCCTTGCTAATGAAAGGCTTCCAATTCCACAAGATAGGAGAAATCAGGGAAATCATGGGAAAACCAAGAAAACATTTCTGGCTCATAACTCATTGAAAGAGGAATCCAGTCTCGGGTCACCGTCCCTCCGCTTCCACTCCTGGTCAGCCATTTCCCGCCCAATGGGAGATGCTTCTTCCATCCATTCTTCTGCAATACCAGATGCTGATCCAGAAAGATCCTTCATCTCAGCTGGTCTATTTTCTCCCGCCTTTCCATGTGGCAGAGACACAAGACCTCCATTTAAAACATGACCCTTGGGCAGCCCGGGTGGCTCAGCGGTTGAGCGTCTGCCTGCCTTCGGCCCGGGGCGTGACCCCGGGGTCCGGGATCGAGGCCCACGTCGGGCTCCCTGCATGGAGCCTGCTTCTCCCTCTGCCTGAGTCTCTGCCTCTGTCTGTGTCTCTCATGAATAAATAAAATCTTTAAAACAGTAAAAATAAATAAATAAAACATGACCCTCCTATCTCTGCATAGCTCACAAAACATTACCAAGCCACGTTTCCTACCCAATCACGCCTGGTATCACCTGTGCCATCCACACTAGGGTCCATCTATGCATCTGGCTCCTTAGCTTCCATCCTACAGAGCTAAGAGTCCGGGTTTCCCCGAATTCGCCGCGGGCGCTCTGCTCCTCTCCTTTCCCCGCACCCCGCTCCCCGCCCTCCCCGCCCTCCCCGCCGCCTTCCCGGTGCTGAAACCTACACCCAGTCAAGGCCCAACTCGAAGGCCGGTTCCAGGAAACCTCCCGGAATCCTCGAGCCTGGCTTTTTCCCCTCTCTCTTGAACATTTTACTTTCAAAGTCTCCTTTCTTTTTCCCCCCTCAAGCCTGTTGTAACCTCTACTGCGAAGCTCGGGGATCTTCCAGCGCCGGTTTCCATCAGAGCCTTGCGGCCTGGTTTTTCTTGCCACCTCGTGCCCCTTTGCGTGAGTAAAACGCGGCCCAGGGGAGAAGCGCCGGCCTACGCGGCTCGGCCGCAGCACCCACCCGGGCCTCGCGGGCGGCTTTCGGGGACCCGGGACCCGGCGGCCCCTCCGCCCGCACCCGCACGCCCTCCCCCGGGGCCCCCCTCCGCCCCCTCCGCCCGCACCCGCACGCCCTCCCCGGGGCCCTCCCCCGCCCCCTCCGCCCGCACCCGCACGCCCTCCCCCGGGGCCCCCCTCCGCCCCCTCCGCCCGCACCCGCACGCCCTCCCCGGGGCCCCCCTCCGCCCCCTCCGCCCGCACCCGCACGCCCTCCCCCGGGGCCCCCCTCCGCCCCCTCCGCCCGCACCCGCACGTCCTCCCCGGGGGCCCTACTCCGCCCGCACCCGCACGCCCTCCCCGGGGCCCTCCCCCGCCCCCCCCGCCCGCACCCGCACGCCCTCCCCGGGGCCCTCCCCCGCCCCCCTCCGCCCGCACCCGCACGCCCTCCCCGGGGCCCTCCCCCGCCCCCCCCGCCCGCACCCGCACGCCCTCCCCGGGGCCCTCCCCCGCCCCCCTCCGCCCGCACCCGCACGCCCTCCCCGGGGCCCTCCCCCGCCCCTGCCGCTCGGGCGGACGCGGCCCCCACCTGGACGCACACGTGTCCCCGGGGCCACAGCCGCGCGGCTCCCGACGCCCAGCCTGTGGGCGGTTCCATTGCCGCCAGCGGAAGGGGAGGCGCGTCTCCTTAAAGCCCTCTCGCCGCCCCTCGTCCGCCGGGGCCGCGCACAGCCTCCACCGCACGCGGAGCCCGGGGCCCGCCCGCTGCCCGAGGGCCGCCCCCGGCGTCCCGCAGCCGCAGCCGGGTCCTGCCGCCGCCGCCCGGCCCCTCGGCGCCCCCCTCCCGGCCTCGCGTGGTCGCGCCCGCTTTGTCAGCGCGCGGAGCTCGCCGGTTGCGCTCAGCCCTCGCCGGCCCGCGGGACGCCGCTCCGCCGCCGCCGTCGGGCTCGCCTGCCCCGCGCTGCGCCGAGGCCTGGGCCGGGCTGCCGGGAGCCTGAGCGCCGCGGCTCCGACCGCCCCTGAGCCCGCTGGGCGCGCCCGCCCGGGCCCCGGCCCCGGCCCCGGCCCGGCCCGGCCCGGCCCGACCCGGCCCGACCCGGCCCGACTCGCTCCTCCCTCCCCTCCCGCGCGGGGCCTCGGCCGCGGCGCCCGGCATGTATCAGAGCCCGCGGCGGCTCTGCTCCGCCCTGCTGCACCGAGACGCGCCCGGCCTGCGCCGCCTGCCCGCCCCCGGCCTGCGCCGCCGCTCGCCTCCGCCCGCGGCCCCCCGGCTCCCGGCGGCCTCGGCGCCCCCCGCCAGGTCGTGTCCCCGGACCGGTGAGTGCGCGGCGCGGCGCGGCGCGGGGCGGGGCGGGGCGGGGGGGGGTCAGGCCCGGGAAGCGGAGCCCCCTCCCCGCGCACCCCTTGCCCTCCCCGCGTTCCCCTTGCCCGCGCCGCGCCAGGTCCCTGCGCCCCCCCCCGCGTTCCCCTTGACCTCCCTGCGCCCCTCCCCGCGCCCCCCCCACGCCCCCTCCCCGCGTTCCCTCTCCCGCGCCTCCTCCCTACGCCCCCTCCCCGCGTTCCCCTTGACCTCCCTGCGCCCCTCCCCGCGCCCCCCCCACGCCCCCTCCCCGCGTTCCCTCTCCCGCGCCTCCTCCCTACGCCCCCTCCCCGCGTTCCCCTTGACCTCCCTGCGCCCCCTCCCTGCGCCCCCCCCCGCGCGCCCCCCCGCGCCCCCTCCCCGCGTTCCCTCTCCCCTCCCTGCGCCCGGTCCCCGCGCTCCGTCCCCGCGTTCCCCTCCTTGCGCGTCATCCGGGCCCCCTTGGGGCCCCGGACGCGGTCCCCGGGGCGCATCATCGCTTTCCCGACTTGGCCGCGGATTAGCGTCTGTTTTCCTGCTTATTGTGCTAATCATGGGAATTTTGCGTACAAAAGTCACCTAAGGTGATACTCGTTTGGTCACGGAATTGCATGATTTAGGTGATTTAGATGGTACGGGTTTGTTTTTTTTTTGATCGTGTTCGCCATATGGTAACACACATTGACTCCTATTACGTTTATTTGGATTTTTTTCGGAGCCTTGCACTCTCCCACCTAGTCCATCTGTGTCCTGTGTGCCTGGGTTGAGATCCTGTAAAGGTGATGCCTTCCGTTTGTCGGGAGCCAGTTTCCGACATCACATCCCCTGGACTTGCCCTTTTTTGCTGCCGCCTCTTCCGCCCGAGGGTACAGTACTGTGGCCAAAGATTACATACAGATTAATGATACATTTTATTTTATTCTTTATTTTATTTATTCATTGATTCATTCATGACTCAGACACAGGCCGAGGGAGATGCTGGCCCCCTGCGGGAAGCCCAATGGGAGGGGTGGGGGGGTGGGATTTGACCTCAGACCCCAGGATCACACCCTGAGCCCAAGGCGGTGCTCAACCACTGAGCCACCCAGGTGTCCCTAATGATACTTTTTTTTTTTTAAGATTTTTGTTTATTCATGAAAGAGAGGCAGAGACACAGAGGGAGAAGCAGGCTCCTTGCTGGGAGTCCGATGTGGGACTCGATGGGGGGGGTGTCTCCGGGGTCACGCCCCCGGCCCCAAGGCAGATGCTCAACCACTGAGCCACCCAGGGATCGCCCTCTAAAGATACTTTTTAATATGAGAAATGAAGATTCTCTTTCAAAACTGGCAATTCACCGCACTAAAAAGCGTATTTTAGCTGTGCTCAAGTTAGGTTATTACCGTCCAGGACGTTGGTCCAACCATCCTACATTATAAGTACATTTCACTCAAAAGTCTTGGATTAATTAGGGCAAACAGAGGTAGAATATGTCTAACGTGGCTTTCATTTTTTTTTTTTTTTTTTAACGAAAGTGATCATCTGAAATCTAAAAGCGATTGAAGCTAAGACTTTAAGCTCTTAGATTATTGGTGGCTGGTTAGGCTGAGACGTACTTTTGAAATTAGAGTGGCTAACCTGGTTACTGTAGACTCTACACTCTGTATTACAGGTTTTATGCTTTTGGTTGTTTTTAATAGTGCAATAAACACATTCATTACACGAAATCACCCTGATCCTATTCCCAGGATTTTGGGTCTCGCCCCCACCCCAAATAGGAATTCGGCAGGTTGTGAAATAGCTGTTAGAATGGGTGCCACCTAATGACTCTAAGCGTTCGTTCTTGCTGGACATTTTTAGAAGGACCGTTGTTAGGTTTGAGGTGGGAGAAATGAAAGAGAAAACGAGTTGGTGTCTCCTGCACCAGCTCGTATCTGAGTCCCTCAGGCCAGGTTCCTAGGTACATCTGCAATTACCGGTATCTTGTGTAACGCAGATAACCGTGCTGTTAGCTGAGGGGAAAAAGTCAGAGCATTTGGAATGTTTGGCTTCTGACACAGAGAGGGTTTTTTGTTTTTTGTTTTTGTTTTTAAGATTTTATTTATCCATGAGAGACACAGGCAGAGGGAGAAGCAGGTTCCATACAGGGAGCCTGACGCGGAATTCGATCCCAGGACCCCAGGGTCACGCCCTGGACTGAAGGCAAGCGCCAAACGCTGAGCCACCCAGGGATCCCCACAGAGAGGTGTTTAATGAACTTTTAAAAAGTCTCTGAAACCCTAGTTTGACAAAGAAATTGAGAGACTTTTATGGTTCTTAGTTACTACAGAGTCCAGGCAGTTTTCCTTTTTCATGCATTTTTAGCTTCAGCCACTTGTTAGAAGAAACAACATTCACTCGCTCATTGGTTGATCACTCACTCATTCCAGAAGTCTGCAGGATGCCTCATACCCTGTACGTGCTTATTATCATAGGTGGTAAAACCGTGTGAACCTTAGTCTGCCTTTACAGAGTTTACTCCCTAGAGACAGAAGCGCTTGCACATGAAGTGTCTACCTTAAGGGAACACCTTTTATTCTTTTACAGTTGGCACAAGGATACTGGAGGTTGGGAAGTCCCTTACAGCAAAGGTGATTTTTTTTTTTTAGGCTTCAAGAACTGATAACTTGAGCTGGGCCTTGAAATATGGTTAGGTTTGAAAAAAATTAAAACATTTTACTTAGGAAAAGGCAGGAGCAAAAAGGGAAACGCATGCAGCAGGGTGAGAGAAGAGCCTCCGTATAATGTTTTCCAAAGAGGCTTAGAACCCGCATTAGGTGCTTATAAAAATATAGACTAATGGATCCTACTCTAGACCTATTAATAGAGTTGTTATTGCTGGGCCCCAGAGTCCACATTACTTAAAAAACTAACAATAATAATGAAGCTCCAGATCATTCTTCTATGCCCAAAGTTTAGGCGTTTGGCAGTCTGGCAAGAGAAGTCTACAGGTACCTGATAGGAACTCTCCCTCGAGAGAGTACGTGGTTGAGGGCCTGGGGGGACGCCATGAGTCCCAACTCTGGACTCCACTTGATAATCGTTTCCTTCCTAACTTCTGCCCCTTGGCAATCAGAGATCACTAGGAAGATAAGTACAGCCATCCAATCCTCCGATACTAGAATTTGAAGGGCAACTGGGAGACAGTCTGTGTTTTGCTGTCTTTTCTCACGCAAGGACAACACCCCCACAAAGAAGCAGCGATTGCCACAGTTACTGTACTAGGTGAAAGGCAGTCCGGAGTCCTCTGTGGGTTTATAAATGCTGTCGTCCAGAGTCCTCCTCAGATAATTAAGAGTTGGCTGAA